TGTGTTTTACAGTTTCTGGAGTGTGGATTCCTCAAGCCTGGCCCCTCTCTTGTCTGCAAAGCATCTCCATCCAGTCAGGGTGCCTATCAGTGTGACACCTTCTCCTCTCTGCAGTCAAGTTCAGCTCAGCCCCTCTCTCTTAAAAGGGCACTTTGTACCACAGTTGCATCCCACCCAGAATTTTCAGAACAACCCCCCACACCCTTTTGCCACATGAGGTAATACTCACGTGTTTCAGAGATTAAAATGATTATCTTTGGAGCCAGTGATCAGAGGAAAAAAAAAAAACATTTTTTAAAATTTGTATATCCTCGTACAGTAGTTCTTAAACTGTGGGTCGTGACCCCTTTGGGGGTCACCTAAGATAATCAGAAAACACAAATATTTATATTACAATTCATAAAGGTAGCAAAATTACAGTTATGAAGAGGCAAGAAAAATAATTTCATGGTTGCACCCACCCCCACATGAGGAACTGTATCAAAGAACTGCCCTGTTAGGAAAATTCTGGACCACTACTCTAGTTATACAGCGAATTCTTGATCAGCTGCATTCAACAGACGTTAAAATCCATAGTAACGGAATAGCTTGCTCAGGCTGCTTACCCAGCAGTTATCTTCTAAGAAGGTCCATTGCTGATAGTGTCTGCGTGGTCTCCTAGGCCAAGCTAGAGATGCTCAGCAACACAGTGAGCATGTGATTTCCTTTCAAAACTGGGTAGAAACCTCACTGTTATTTCAATCATTAGTTGTGCATACATTATTGCTTAGTATATGTTGTATCTAATCAGTGGGCAAAAAATCTTGAGGGCTGGGGAGATGGTTCAGTTGGTAAAGTGCTTGTCATGAAAGCATGAATTCAGGTGCTTGATTCCTTAGCGCCTAAGAAGTTGGATGTGGTGCCACATGCTTGAACTCCTAAAGCTGAGGAGATGGTACAAGGAGGATTCCAGGGTCTTACTGGTCAACCAACCTAGCCTCATTATCATGCCGCGGGTCCTGCCGAGAGACCCACCTTAAGAATAAAACAGAGTCTATGGGCTACATCTAAGCAGGGATTTTAGGATCTTTCTATGCATGGTCTTTGGTTGGGGTATCCATCTCTGCAGGGCCCCTGGGTGTTTTTTGTTTGTTTGTTTTGTTTTGTTTTTTGGCTCTTTTGGTCTCCTTTAGGAGCTCCTGTCTCCTCCAGGTCTTTCTGTCTCCCCCTTCTTTCATAAAATTCCATGTACTCTGTCCAAAGTTTGGACTCAGCCTCCAAGTGGGTTCCCTAGTAAGGGGAGCAGGGACTTTCTCTGGCATGAACTCAGTGGCTGCCTCTCCGATCACCTCCCCCTGGGGGGGTGCAGCCTTGCCAGGCCACAGACAAAGACAATGCAACCAGTCCTGATGAGACCTGATAGACTAGGGTCAGATGGAAGGGGAGGAAGTCCTTCCCTATCAGTGGACTAGGAGAGGGCATGGGGGGAGTGAAGGAGGGAGGGTGGGATTGGGAGGGGAGGAGGGAGGGGGCTCCAGCTGAGATACAATGTGAATAATCTGTAATAAATAATAAATCTTAAAAATTTACAAAAAAATAAAAGAGAGCATGTCTCCTGGGGCATGACACCTAATGACCTCTAGGCTGAACACCCACCCGCATGAATATGCACCCACACTGTAACAGGAGGGAGGAAGGAGGAGCACCAATGCTCTAGGGCATCATTGTGCTTCTTCCCTGGTGTGGACAGAGAGCCGAACCTCCCAGGAAGACAGCAGGCCAAGCCACCGAGAAAACAAAAGTAACCTTTACTCCTTCCATATGGCACAGACTTAATGTTAGCAGTCGACTTGGGTGTTTGATGGGGCCCCTGAGTTTTCTGCCCCCTGCTACTAGACCTGTTTGGTTAACTGCCAGTTCATGGATCCTGTCTTCTCTTACCCTGTCTACCCATACCCTTCAACATGTATAACCACATACATACAAACATGAACACATACACACACAGATGTGTATACTATGCGTGTGCATGCACTCTGGATCTCAAACAAAACCATACTTTTCAAAAATATTACTAACTGGACAAGACAACTTAATTTTTTTTTTTCTTTAAAAAGCATTCGGTATTTCTGGAAGGCAGGCCTGACAAAGCGGAAGTAATGAGGGCTCTAGAATTACAGTCCCAGACATATTTATTTCCTGTTACACCTGTTACAAAGTGGGAAAACACTATCATTTCAGATACTCTGTTGTTCATGAGTAAGATGTGACACAGATTTCAGCTGTTTGTTTTGATAACATTAGAGAGTTCTGCTATATGGCTGAAATAGCTGCTGAATAAAAATTACCTCCCAACTGCTGCATTAGGAAACTTGTCTACAAAGCCTTTGCAGTGAAATAGGATCAATCAACAACTTGCTTGGAATGGACTCAGACCTCGCTGGCAAGTAAAGTAGCATGAAAGGGTGATGGCAGCATTAAAAATCCACCAGTAGAGGACTTAGAAATAGGTTGGTTAGGTTTCTTAAGAGGTGCGCATTTGGTTAAGTGGTGGTCATTCTGTTGTTGCAAGGCAATTTACTTATGTAAACTCTCACCGGCTGACCGGTCAGGCTTTCTCATTGTTTGTGTTTTGCCATTCCAAAGCACTATGTTAAAATGCTGACAAGCCCTTGTTAAGTGCATGTGGATTGCGATGGGCCAGGCAGGTACTTTCCTAGATCACAGAAAGTTGGTAAGAAAACCCACATACTGAAATGTTAAGCAAAACTCCCTTCCCTACAAAAGCATTTGAAGTCGTTCTCCTGAGAAATGCCTAGTCCATAAAGAGCTGGGGAAGCTGATAGGGCAACTGTCCCTGCCATGGAGATGCAGATCTCAAATATGCAGCAATTGGTCACTGAGGTGCTCAGAGCAGTCTAGAGTTCCTCAGATCTCCATAGGACATGTCATTAAACCTCCTCCTCCTGCTGCGGCTGACTTCTGGGAGAAAAGCATATGGTATAAATAGTACTGCATCGGTAGTGAATACTAATGGCTGCTCAGGAGGCCTGTCCTTCAGCTCCTACGCTACCATCCAGTTGCTTCTAAATGAGACATGCTTTGGTCTGGTTTAATAATCTGTGTTTAGTTTAGAGCTCAGAATTCTCTGTGAATAATGCATTTGTAAGATTGATACACACGGTCATACACACTTTTATTTCCTGAGTTTTTCCACTAACACTGTAAAATTAAAGTCAGCAGACTAAGGCCTGTAGGACACACTCTACAGATATGCTCGTTCCTCTTCAATTGCTAGGATCTGAAAGTAGACTCACTACAACAGCACAAACAGAGAGAACGGGGGACACGTGGGTTCCATAGGATAGCAATGGCCTCCTAGTGTGAGGACTGAAAGTTCAGTGAGAACATGTAAACTACAAGCCTATCTCAACACCCATGCGGAACACCCCGGTGGTTGCAGGGACGGCAGAAGGAAGTGTCTTCAAGTGTGAAGAAATTAGTCTACCGTCTTCATGAAAACAATAGCACATTCTATATTTTGTGTTACAAGTTGAATTTCACACAGGTAATGTTAGGCAGAGCGTATTAGGATTTCCAAAAATTAAAAAAGGAAAAAAAGAATTAAGAACAATTTGGTTAAAAATAGACTTTTACTCCTCATAAAAAGATTTCTAGAGTTTTAGACAAAGCCAATTTATCCTGGCCCAGTATTTTAACAGTAGGGATGGCAGAAGCGTTGTTACCTCAGACAGCATACATCACTGGGCTAATCCAGAAGGCACAAGAAACAGGATGCAGGTTTTATTTCCCAGGTCCAAAAAGCACAAAACATAATAGAGGTTTCACAATATGATCTGTTGTTTTTTAATGTATCCATAATGAAAAATTCTATCATGAAAGAACTACAAAAACTACAGTTCACATTAGAAGTTAATGTCACTGGGAAGTTAAATTATGAAGACAAAACAAACGCACATTACAAATATTCTTTTGTTCTTCACTTACCATGATGCAAACTGCAAGGAGTTAACCTTTAAGGGTTAAAGAGTTTAATCAATGTCAATGCCTGCTCTTCTGAAGGCGAGAAAGAACGGTCTGTCTAGCGATACCCAACAGAACATCACTTTGTCAAGCCACAGAGCGCCCAAAAGCTTGTCAAGTAAGATACCAGAAACCTCTTTGTGGTTAGAACTCAGCTCCTTCCTGCTTGACCTATTATTTGATATTTGACCACTTGGTTGCAAGACACTTGCTCTTTCTAGCTGAAATGTCACTGGGGCATCTTGTCAGCTCCCCGACATCTCGGCCTGACATACAATTTTACTTTTGTGTGCTACAAGGCAGAAAATGCAGGGCAATGGCCTTGTTTTAAATTCTGTCAGCATCAAAGACGGTCGTCACTCTTGGGTCTTACCAACAACAAAAACAAAAAAAGAAGTCTGTTCTGAAGGTCAAAATGGCCATTACCTTGAAGTTTTCCGGCTTATACTAAATATATCACCTGCTTCACTGGCGTGGGACCTGTCCTTATGAGGCACCTAAGCAGACCACGGCAATCCTCCCAGCACAGCCTTTCTTCCTTCCCATCAAGTGCAGACTTGATGAAAGGACAAGGTTTTCGATGGCTACGGGGACCAGATTCAGCAGTTAACTTAACTTGTTCAAATGGGCAAGCGCTATCATGTAGCCTTACGGGGAGCAACCTGACCTTCTCACACTGACCAGGAGTGACATTATTGTGCGGGCGGAGAAGCGCTCACATCATTTCTGTTTTGTACAACCTGCTTAAAGTTTGCAACTAAACGCTTGTCTTCAGTCGAGCTGACAAGAGAGAAGAGGGGCTCAGTGAACCATGGCAGGGCTGCCATGAAATGACAGGAATCATTGGCATACATTTCAAATAGCTCTCTCAATCCTATTAAAGTATTGCAGTCTTGCTTTAAAATAGACAAGTATGAAACAACTTTGATAGATAGAGACTAAAATGGCTTATTGATTTTTTTCTAAGTCCGAGGGAAATTACCCAAAATGTGTCATTCTTTAACATTTAAAAATATGTTACATAAAAATGAGCGACTGTGATAATAAATAAAAACTTAGGGAGGAAAAAGTGGGTTATTTCATTATTTAAGGAGACAGAGATCCCTGCACACATCAAGATGTCACACAATTTTTAAAAGCCCGTCCTCACTTGTATTAAACAAAATTCATCTGATAAGAAAATCCCCCTTCGAAACAATTTTAATTGCACCAAAACTCGTCCTCCTTTCTTTTTTTTTTATTTCACGAAGTCATAATCCAATCTGAGATGGTCTTTGGGCATGAGTAGGCAGCACTGGAGAGGAGCGAGACGACTGTAGAGAATGGGGTGCCGAATTTATGAACGTCTCCTTTAAGAAAGCGAATGTTGTGTCAAGTTCCGCTTGCAGTGGAAGAAAGTTCCCAACTGTGTCCGAAGGGAGGGCAACTCTGGGAGGGATGGAAAGGTTGGAGTGGTCTCGGGACCCTGTCTGTGAAAAGAAAGAAGCACATTGAATTGTAAACTCTTCAGGAGAATCTGTGGGCACAAACGAGGAGGCGGGTTGGCAACACTTGAGATGTGCAATGGGATGGCATTCGCCATCTGCACGACACAATATAGAGGAAGTGGTTTTCCATCTGTAACTGAATCAACTCATCTGAGGGGCCATAGCTGTTTCAGGATGATGGAGGGACACCAGGACTTTGTACAGAACGTTTTCAAAAGCTTTATACCAAGAAGTCAATGAAACTAGGCATTTTCTAGCTTAGCTTCAGTTGTTTGGCCATTGACAGAAACAAACCCTAGTAAAATTTGTTCCATTAGTTTATAATCTACTATAGCGTGACTGGACTGCTTAGGAAATGATCTCTGGTGTCTGCTTCTAGATTACTTTTAATGAGTTAATTACCAATTTAACACAAAGAAAACTAATTGAATCCAGTGATTTCTAAAAAACAATACACTATGATAGAAAGTCTAGTGAGAACTTTTGTTATAACTTCATGAATGATGCCTTTTATGATAAAATTTGTTTTAATCATCTACAAATAATTTCTAAACATAATAGATTACAATGTGAAATCAATGTCTCATATAGGTAACATTGGTAGAACACAAAATCGAACTTCAAAAATGCCATATATTCATAAAATACTTGAAAACAAAATTAACATTTGATAGAGCTTAAGTAACAAAACACCCATAAATAGTAGTTAATATTTAATGTGAATGAAGGCTTAGCCATGAAGCAGAGAAAAAAATGATCAAATTTTTGCCCTGATTGTGTGCAAATGAATGTTGGATAACAAGTTCAGCTATGAGCACCCACTAAAAATATTTCAGTTTGCAAAGTTTTTAAAAATAGCTTTATCTTGCATTCTCTTTACGTTTTGATAATAAAATAACATGAGGTATAAGGGTCTGCTTAACTGGGTCATGTTATACAAAACTATTTCTGCATGTGGAGACAAGGAGGAAACCACTGCTGGTGCTAGGAATGTATTAGGAATTCTACTCTTGTATGTGCTACCATTTTTGTAGATTTTTTTAGAGTACAACTGGAGAAAATCAATGTCTGCATCTAACACCTAGTTCAGCAATTTTCTTTGATCTCTGTTCTTTTGATTTCTTGATACTTCACTGCAAGCAGATAGCTCATGGAAATCATCTCTTTTTATGCTGGAAGTTAAAAAAAAAAAAAAAAGAAAAGAAAAGAAAAGTGCCTACAGTGGCCACTCAGATGTCTCCATGAAGCACGGGGTTTACTGGATCCCCACGTACAGAAAAGAACTCCGAGCGCCATGCACTGGTCAGCAGCCCTGGTTCTAGGTCTGGTACCTCTGCTACCAGAACCACTTCCAGAGCTCATGCGGGCTGTGTGGCGTGGTGACCTCACTAGCCATCTGTCTGTCCGGCTTGCAGCTGTAGTTCCACAAGTGACCTCCTAACTTCTCTTCTGCAGAACCACAGCTTGGGAGATTGGTGAAGGAGCCAAGGAGTGGGGCTTGCCTCTTCTCCTTGCTTTCTTTAACTTATTTGTGGTAATGGTTTTCAACATGTTTGCCCAAGGCTTCAGAATTTTGTTTTTAAGTCTTTTAGGATTTTAGGGTGTTGATAAGCTACAGCAATGTGACTGATGTGACAAAGTGAAAGTGGAATTTTAATAGTGTAGAGTCATTAGATCAAGTTTTCCAGTGCTCTGTTTCGAGAACATTTCCTTTTTGCTCTGATAGCACAACTTTGAGCTGCAGTCACCACCATACAAGTGAGGAAAACTCATCAAACTTAAACGCTGCCGGCTCTAAGACCTAGAAGCTCTTGATTATTCTCTCTCCTGTCCACCCGCTCCCCAGTGGTAAGCACCGCTCTACTCTCTGCTCCTGAGAAGTCGGTTTCTTACTTTTGTCCTCTCACATGTAAGGGAGAAAGGAGGCGTCTGTCCCAGGCTAGGCATCTTTCACTTCTATCAGTTCAGTCCCAACTGACAGAATTTCTTCCTGTGTCCAGGCTGGGTGGTATTCCGCTGTACAGATACCCAACAGTTTGTCTATTGACTGGCTGGTGGACATTTGGGTTGACTCCAGAACCTGCGGTGGAAAATGCTGCAGCAAACATGGTGTGCAGACATCCCTTCGACAGACTGACTTCGAATCTCTGAGGTAAATATGCAGCAGTAGCTCTGCAGGGTCACCCAGTAATACTGCTTTCAGGGTCTTATTATTGTTCAGAATGAGTTTACAGCTTCATGCCTCAGGTTATGGTCTAAGACTGTCATCGTCCAGGGACCTTATTGATGTTCTACTCTACAGAAGAGCAACTTCACCAAAATGACCAAGAGCCCTGCCTTTGCAGTGTTGGAGACTCACACAGCTTCCTGAAATATGTTGTGGCTCAAGCTTCCCTCTTGCTCTAGAAGTCCACCAGCCCACACCTCATAACCCAGAAGGCCATCCTTTGGGGAAGAGCCCTGCCAAGCACTGTGTTCTCTGGAGACTCGGCAGGTCTGGGCACTCCATACAAGGCTCTGGTTTGCCTTTTCTTGTCATTTTTGTGTGTCTGCTTTCCACCATGTGTGTAAAATCAGCCTTTCATCTAACTGAGCGCTTTTGACTAAATAACCTTGAAACACACGGTGTCAAGTATTTCTGTAGCACTTTAAACCAGCCTCAGCTTTTGCACATTTTCCTCTGACCTTATGTTCTTAACACAAAAGGTAATCTAACACCTTGGAGAAAAAGAAAGGCATGGAGGGAAGAAAAGAGGGAAATAGGAAGAGAGGGAGGGAAAGAAGGAAGGAAGACAGAGAAGGAAGGCAGAGAAGAAAGGGGGGTGAGAATGTAAGAAGATAGAATATGAATTTCCTTAAAGTGTTTTATTCCTCGAAGGCCCCTAGCGTATATGTGTGTAAATGAGCACAAATCATTGGTTCTACTATTAGAATCACTTTCTACACTGTGAGAAAACATGTTTTTTCATGAAATGGAATAAATTTGATTTTAAGTTACTTAGCTTTAAAAAAAAAAAAACAGCACAATTTCTAGTGAAAATTTGTTCTGATAATTTGATGTTTAATAACAATTAAATATTAAGTATTTTTTGTTACAAATAATAACAAAAAAACTGTGGAAATGTTTTTTTATGTAACAAAGAGGTGAGAAGAGTGAAATAACTTTGTAGCAGAGGCCAGTAAGAGTTCACATCCACTACCTGATCATACACGTAAAGTCTGGGAAGCCTGCGGCCGTTTAAACTTCTTCATAAACTGCTTACATGTTCTGGTTGTCTCACATAAATCTAAATTTGGGCAATTTCTTAAAAAGAAATTGGTTACCTGAAATAAGGGCTAGGTGCCATGTGAATCTTTATGGAAGTACTTTTATTTCCTCAATGAGCTGTAAATGATTCTCTCAGAGCTGCTAGAGTTGATCAGCTGAACACATACTCACAATACAGAAGGTAATACTAAATTTCTCCACTTAAAAGACTTGTGAAATGTAGTAATTGAACACACCCAATGGCCATTTTTTAAAGTATGATTTTCTAAGAATGTTTCCAAACAACAAAAAACTAAAGTGTTAGTCTAATAATAAAATAATCACACAATGCATTGTCTATAAATCGAAGCCAATTTGCCAGTCCAGGCTTCTGAACAGCTAGCGTGGGGCCATCTGTCTCCCGTGCGGCCATCATGATCATGATGTCTTTAGGACTTACGGCTAAAGAGCGGAGGGAAAGCATGATTTAGCCAGGCAGATCATGCTAAAAGCACACACTGTAGCAGAGGTTAGCAAACTGCAGCATCCCTACCCAGTTCTGTTATACCTGCAGTCAGCCATTTGGGGCAGGTGGGTTAGCCTGCCAAAGCCTTAAGTTCTTTGCTATAAGAGAAGGGGTGAAATGCCATGAGTCTGTTACAATTCCATGTTTGATGGCATCCAATAAAAATATTGGTATCTAACTTCTACGTGACATTAACTTAAAAACTCAGGATTCATAGATCTAATACTTAAGGTTTACTATTCAAGATTTTGAGATGTAAGATAGACCATGACAGATCATTCTTCTTTAGATATATATTCTTTTGAAAAATATTTTTGATTCTTTGAGAATTTCATACATGCATTTTGATCACAGTCACTCACTCCCACCTCTCCTTAACTCCTACCAGACCTGTCCCCTCCCTACCCACCCCCTCACTTGGTCTCCACTTTTTAAAATCTGACACCCATTGACTCAAATTTGTGCTTCCCATACACTTCTGGGTATGGAGCTGTCCACTAGAGCATCGTCAGCCTACCAGGAGCCACACCCTTAAAGAAGACCAACTCTCCCTCCCACAGCCGCCATCGCCGTCCACAGCTCTTCAGGAGCCCTTGCCACTCCCTGATAGAATGCCGACTAGCTTGATCTTGTGCAGGTCTTGTGAAGACAAGCAGAGCTGCTGTGAGTTCTTGAGTGTACCAGTCTTCTTGCTTGTCATTTCCAGAAGACATGGTTTCCTCCTCCCTGACCTCTGACTCTTATTGACTCTTATAATCTCTCTCTCTCTCTCTGCAGTAGTACCTAAGCTATTCACTTAAATCCTGTAGCATATGTTTTGTTGTTGCGGTCTGAATGCTGACATCTCAGAGCTCGTGTGCTGCCAGCTGTTTTTACATAGAGTGTAACAAGTGCACAAGCAGTGATGAAGAAATCAAAGTGCCCGAAAGAGGGGATGACGAGACTCACTGTTTCCACCTTAATTCCTAGTGTGTTCTTAGCACTAGACTCTCGATACTTAGCATATCAAAATTTTCTTTCCTCCAGAAGTATTTGTGCTTCAAGTTCAGGCTCTCCACTTTCCAGTGCTAGTGCAGGGTCACAGGCCACCGCAGTGTACCCAGTCAGACTGGAAACAATCAGGAAGTTAATTTCTCCCGTGGAATACTTGCATCTCTGAGATATAACAGGGACATGTACATCCACCTTCAAATACACACATGTATTTAC